TCCGATTCTTGATGAGATGAGATAAGATTCTGATTGAGATTTTCATTCTAAAATAATGATTTTCCATAATCTGTAAAGAGACAATGAACATCAAACACTTAAAAAATCGACTTTTGGCCCCTCACAGCCCCTAATTTTAGGGACCAGCGATTTTTTCTTCATATCATCTTATAGCTCTCAGCATTTTGATCACTTTTTGTTCAACAACTATTCAGAGATTCGGTTTTGTTTTCGAGTTATTTGGAAAAGAAATATTTTGGGGTCAACCCTTCAACTCCTTAATGGGGACGTTTAGCAAAAAAAGAAAGGTAACACATTGTTCAAAACATTATTTTGAACATGTTTTATTCAATATTACTTATCAAAATATTTCTCACTTTCGAGATATAAAGCGTCGAAGATTTAGCTTTCTGGCCCCTTGTGGTCCCTAATTGTGTACCATAATACATAAAAATCATAACATATAGTTGTGAATGGTTGAGATAAACATCTTTGCTTCAGTAATGTACTACAAAATATTAACTGATAAATAATTATCCATAAAAGACTTTTGGCCCCTCTTGGCCCCTAATTTGAGTGCCCAGCCCCTTTTTCTTGATATCGTCTTCAAGCTCTAATGATTTTGAACACTTTTTGTTCAACAACTACTCAAAGATTCTTTTTCGTTTTCGAGTTATTTGCAAAAGAAATATTTAGGGGCAAATCCTTCAACTCCCTAACGGGGACGTTTAGCAAAAAATAAAAGGTTGCATATTGTTCAGAATATTATTTTGAACGTCTTTTGTTCAATATTACTTATCAAAATATTTCTCTCTTTCGAAATATAAAGCGTCGAAGATTTAGCTTTCTGGCCCCTTGTGGCCCCTTATTGTGTACCATACGACATAAAAATCATAATATATAGTTGTAAATGGTTGAGATAAACATCTTTGCTTCAGTAATGAATTACAAAATATTAACTGATTAAGAGTTATCGATTGAAGACTTTTGGCCCCTCTTGGCCCCTTATTTGAGTACCCAGCCCCTTTTTCTTGATTTCATCTTAAAGCTCTTATGATTTTGAACACTTTTTGTTCAACAACTATTCAGAGATTCTTTTTCGTTTTCGAGTTATTTGCAAAAGATATATTTAGGGGCCAACCCTTCAACTCCCTAATGGGGTCGTTTAGCGAAAAATGAAGGGTTGCATATCGTTCAGAACATTATTTTGAACATCTTTTCTTCAATATTACTTATCAAAATATTTCCCACTTTCGAGATATAAAGCGTCGAAGATTTAGCATTCTGGCCCCTTGTGGCCCCTAATTATGTACCATACGACATAAAAATCATTATATATAGTTGAAGATTGTTGAGATAAACATTTTTGCTTCACTAATGTATAACAAAATATTGACTGCTAAAAAGTTATTGAATAAAGACTTTTGGCCCCTTTCAGCCCTTAATGTGATGAGTCAGCACTTTTTTCTTGATATCATATCAAAGATTTTGCAGTTCTGCACAAATATTGCTCAGTATGTTTTAACAAAATAATTATATTTTAAAAGATACAATGCAAAATGTCTCAAAAAATCAGTCATGACTCGTGTCCTTATTTTTGACCCCTATCGAGCTTCCATACTAGGCACTTCCGGAAAATATCCTGACGCAGGCGCAACATGGCAACATGTCCTCTATCATCCCTGAAAAATTTAGCTTTCTAGCTTTAACTGTTTATGAGTAACACGACAGACAAATAGGTCCTCTCAATTTCGATCAAAGGGCGATAACTTCTGACCGGAAGTCAAATTTTCAAAAATTGAATCACCGGTATAAACTTCAAATAGAAACACATAAACTCTGAAAATTTGAATGAAATCGATCGAGCCATCTCTGAGAAATCTTCTGCACAAATTTTGTAAAGAAAAAAAAGAATAAATAATAATAATAAAGGTAAAAAAGAAACCGAAGAATAATAGAAGGGTCTTCCGCTGAAGACGGAAGACCTTAATAAAAGTGAAAAAGAAACCGAAGAATAATAGAAGGGTCTTCCGCTGAAGACGGAAGACCCTAATAAAGGTAAAAAAGAAACATAAGAATAATAAAAGGGTCTTCCGCTGAAGACGGAAGGCCCTAATGACCGTATTCCCCTATATTAATTATTGAATCGGACTAAAACAGTTTTTTACTTCATCTGTAAAAAATCAAGATACATTACATGTAATATAGCAAAATTTAGGTCAATATCTGCAAACATTTAGGAAAAAATGCAAAAACTGTTACAAATTAAAACAGACGTATTTTTCTTGAGAATCATTGAAGTAGAACGAAATTCAAATTCGATCTGTAACTCATCAAGATACATGTACAGACCATTCACCATTAAACGTGGTACTACACCTCAGAAACGAAACGAACCGTCCCGTGCAAGAACCGTATCGTACCGTTCCAAAAAAAAACGTTAAACGCTCCGAGGTCAACCCCCCCCCCCCCCCCCCAAAAAAAAAAAAAAAGAAAAAGAAAAAAAAATAGAGGAAAGTTTTGGAATTTACTGCGACAACTAACGTGGACGGAATAAAAGCAGATAGTTTTTTAAATGAAAAGAGGCCCACGGGCCTTATAGGTCACCTGGGCATTGTGTTACAACTTTCAAACAATTAAATGTGCTTTGTGTTTTAAACCAGATGCCATAGAATTCGCAATTCACAATCGTGAAAGAGGCATTGCACTATTGCTTGTCATATTTATAGACTCAGCATGCTTACTCTATTTACTTAATACTCAGAGGTAGATCAGAGTAACAAAGAGAAAATGCACTTACACTTATATATGTAACCAGTTGTGCACCTCATCCCAAAGGAACCACTGACCTTGGGGCCATATATATTTCAAAATTTTGCAAACTTTATCGTAAAATGGTTGATTAATATCAAAGAGCATGTTTCAGGGCATTAATTTATTTTCAGATTATGTAACCCCCCCCCCCTCCCAACCTCCCAACCCGGGGGGGGGGGGGGGCATAAAAATAACCATTTTACTCGATTTATCATTCTTCATTATAAATACATAAATTTGGATCATTGGCATAAGACGCAGGAACAAAGCAAAAATCAAAGAATTAATTTAAAGTATTTTCACTATATTAACAAGAGAGTCCCGTCCTAACACCAGAACCCCTGACCCTGGAAGCATAAAATTAACAAATTTGGAAGAGGCACTCTTGCTTATCGTAACTATGTACAACGTACTTAGTTTGCTTAGTTTATTAAATACCCAGGAGCAGAGGAAAAGATTTGCAAAGAATAAATGCATTTTCACTATAAGGTAAATAGAGCCCCGCCCTAACACCAGAACTCCTGACCCTGGGGCCATAAAATTCACAATTCTGGAAGAGACAATCTTGCTCAACATGACTAATAGATGTACTTACATACATGTAGTTTATTAAATACCCAGAAGTAGAGAAGAAGATTTTCAAAGATTAAATGCATTTTCACTTTATGATAAAAAAAGCCCCGCCCTAACCTCCCTGACCCTGGGGCCATAAAATTCACAAAACGAAAGGACCTGTCACAAAAATTAAATATGTGAAATATGATAGTCCTAGTATTTACCATTCAAAAGTTATGGCTTAATTAAAAGTTTGGAATTTTTGTGTAAAAGTGGGTCAAACTCCAATGTCAAGGTCAATAGGTCAAATTTGGTGGTCTTATCACAAGGAATTTACATGTAAAATATAAAAGTCATAGCTCCACTCAATCAAAAGTTATAGACTAGGTTAACGTTTTTGTGACGGTCGGAGAGCTAGACAGACAGACAGACCGGCGGTCAGACGAATGAGACTTAATGTCCCCTCGCTTTCGCGAAAGCGGAGGACAAAAAAGAAAGAAACGACTTTGTTACGTTGTCAATCGTACTACGGCGTATATGCACCGCATATTTAATTTGTATACCGAGCACAAAAACCGTTCACAAAATGAATAAACCGTTGCATGAAACAAATCATACCGTACAATGCAAGTGGTATACACGTAGACGCACGTTTTAGGTTTTTCATTGATATACCAAAATATCGGACTATCTACAAATGTTTAGACAAAAAGTAAAGATTGCCAAAAAGGTCAGACTGACTGACTGACAGAGAGACATACAAAGGGACAGACGGACAGACTCAGTGGAAATCTATAGCCCCTTCATGTTCCAGGTGTGGGGAATTAATATATCCGGCATTAATTAGGACTGATAACAATGTAGCCACATGTACTTGTGGACAGAACCCCCTCCCCCCCTTAATATTCCACCCGGGGCTTGTTGGACATCTTTTTCACAAATTGTATTTATAACACTTTATCATCATGAGTACAATAGAAAAAAAAATCATTAAAACCCAAAAATAATCGCTCCACAAAAAAAAAAAAAAAAAAAAAAAAAAAACCCACAATACAGTATAAGAGAGATCTGTCTTATAATGTATAGTGGGTATTTGTTTTGTGGATCGATTATTTTAGGGTTTTAACGATTTTTTTTCTATGGAACTTATGGTGAATAAGTGTAATTAATATAACAAAAATGTTCGACAAGCCCCGGGGTGGAATACTTAGGGGGTTGGGGTGTCCTGGTGTCCTGCCCACAAGTACCTGTGAATGTAGCTTACAAATGTAGGTATACATGAAAGCCCTATAGGAAAGATTTACATTGGATTTAACTGATTCATATGTTATTGCTTTTCAATATTTGGGAAAGTATGAATAAAAGTAGTTTATTAATATAATTTAACAAAACCATATCTCCGGAATTTAGAGAGAGAGAGAGAGAGAGAGAGAGAGAGAGAGAGAGAGAGAGAGAGAGAGAGAGAGAAGGAGGGGGCTAATTCTGCGAGGGAATTTCTCAGTTATTTATCTGCTTTCTCGTATTTTGTCTGTATGGTATTATGCCGTATAAAATGTACATATTTGTACACTGTTTATAACCATTTGTTGGATAAGAACTAAAGACATATAAACTATATTTTTTTTACAAAGAGATCACCTTATTTTAACTAGTCTGTACATTACTAACAAAGCTATTATAATTATGTTGCAATAAATGTCATGTATTTGTTTAAAAAATACCTTCATAAGTAAAACACACAGGGAATACTATGAATTGAGAACAATAACTACAATGCACCATTACCAAGTAGGCTATAAAATAATATTTATCTGATACTTATGTGTGAAGTGCTGCATGTATTAGTAGTTACTCGTTATATTTTTAGATAAGTTCTCCACACTGACTGATGACGAGGTGTTCGTGTTGTTCTGTTTTCTGTGCTCTGACTCCGGTCCTCCTGACTTCACTGACACAGAGTGGCTGGACATGCTTAATGAGATACGACAGGGAGTGTACCATAATAGGAATCCTGTAACACGTGAAGAGGCACAGCAGACTCTGGACAGACTGAAGTCACGTGATTACCTTTGGGAAGATCAGGACAAGATAACGAAGGACATAAAGGATGAGACAATGTATAGGATAGCATCAATAAACAGTTTTATACAATTCCTTTGCAGTAGTTATGACACAGCCAGTGTGTACCTGAGATCAGGGAGATACAACAGAGAACCTGGAGAGAAGTGTGTCACTAGTCCTCTCTGTGATGACTTACTGATACTCCGTCTACAGATGAACATACTGACTCACGTCACCATGGAGGACACGAGTATATATGATGAGATACACCAGATATGTAAGTCAGAGTAAAATAATTGTTAATTGTATATATACATAATGGTACTACAGTGTAAATGTTTATTATAAACGGTATATTTTTTTCTACAGTAAATATCCCAGAAAATAAAATGAAGAGCAGTAAAGATGGACTAGAAGAATTTCTAACGGATCTAAGAAGAGAAGGGGAGGCTGTACATTACAGAGGAAGATCACAGGACAGTGTAGATCACCTGACATGGCTCTGGAGACACGGGAGACCAAGACCTGACATCGTGAGATCCTGTATAGGTCTACATCCACACAACGACATTTACATCATCGACAACAAAACCTATAGAAAACCAAGTAAGAAAGTTTGATTTTCTAGCAGAATTGAAGTTAGTTCTCTAGTTATATGTATGCATTCGGAACTATGGATTTATATTAAATCAGTTCATTATATATTTGTTACATGTACCCAAGACCTTGTATAGAAAAGTGATTTATAGGCAGTTTGCCTAGCCTGTTGTCCAATCTGTTCAGTAATCTGAATAAATATTGCCTAAATCTATACCTGGAACTTTGTCCAGACATAAATATAAAAATGACGGGTGTTAATTTTTCTGCTTAAAATAAAATAAAGAAGAGGATTAGGGTTTGGGGAGATGGAAGTTCTTTCATGATCATTTTCTACTTTCAAACACTACGACTCACCCTTCTTCAACTTTAACTACACTGCATCGTGTATGTTGAATGTGTGCATGTTGGGGGGGGGGGGTATATACCTACGACTCAATTTTTATTATCTATATGATGTCTATTGCTTTTTTAAAAAAGCTACCCCCCCTTGTTTTGACGCCAATGGCAATCTTTATTTTTAATTAGTATAGGCCCTTATTTTTATGTATTTTGCAAATCAAAATGTCAGTCAAAGTACTAGTATCAGTCTGTTTCTCTCCCTCGATTTCGTTTAAAATGTTGTAAAATTTAACTTGTTTTGCTTTATTAATCCAAATCTGAATTATTCTCCTTTCTCTTTAGCATGATTTTCATTTTTTCTGTTGTTTGTAAGTGTACATGTATTCCGCATCATTTGTTGTGAAAGGTGGTGAAAATGCTTCAGGTCGTATGATGTGACATAGCTGCTACCTGGGGCCCTTTTTCCACGACAAATTATATTTAATCTACAGCGATATTGGTAGTTTTCAAACATAAGTGAATAAATAGGACACCTTTTGAATAGTTTCAATGGTCAGACACATTTTTTTTAAGGAATACTGCATTATATTATCTTTGATTTATTACACCCTATCACAGCTAAATTAGGCCAGGTTTGTGCGAATATTTTCTTTTATGGCAAGATAATGGGCGGGTCTTGGTACAAAACATGGATATGCCAATCGCACCATCTCGAGTCTTTCCGTCAGAGGTCGGAAAAACAACCTCGAAAGTATTAACATCATCGGATGTTAAAAAAATTATACATTTCCTGTTTATTTAAATATAGAATATTTTAGGTATAATATCATTACATTGAATAAAGTGAAACTCTATATTCTAAAGATAAAAGGTCTCCATGCATTTATTTCAAAGATCGTGAAAAGGGAGGGTTGTCATGGCGGCTACCATATACATTTGAGATCGTTTTTCCGCTAGGCGGAAAGGCCCGAGAAGTTGTTAGTAAGGGATATGCATGTCCAAGAAGACCTTGTATGGCTGTTGTTATTATTTAGCACTTAGTTTAAATATTGTCTAATCCGATAACAGAATAAACATGTTACGTTTACATTTTATCAGAGACACGTGGTTTAGGTCAATTTATCTGTTATCCTTTTCTACATTTCAAACTTTTATAATGGTCAGCCAAGGCTGTTTATACTTTATAATACGCATGGATATTCAGCATTTAGGGTTTTAATGACAAGAAATGCACTCAAAACTTGTATTCACCGATACTCGGGAGTACATGTACAGTAGACCTAGCGAACTGCTCACCAAACACGCTACAAAACTTTAAACTAATGTATATCATGTATATTCTATCTATTGTTTGTAACTGTAAATAAATTTTAGTTTGATCCCGGAAATTGAACATATGTAGATCCGTGTCTAGTCTGTGTGACAAAAATGCATAAAAAAATATTTGAAAAAAATAATATTCCAAGCTTGTTTCCATAGTATTTTTGCATGTTTTGTGATACTCACTCGTAACGAATTTCATTTAGCTGATTGGTCATTTAGAAAGTATCGTCTGTGCCTTGATTAGCACATAAATTCATTTTCACGTCAGAAAAACCAGTAACGATGAAATGAATAGTTCTCGTCTGATCCTTATATATATGTCACGGGATCTAATCCCACTGAGGGACGTGAACACGTGTTCTTAAATCAGACCGATACAAATGGGGTCCTTGGTCCCTTGTTGTGGAACCTTCTGGCACGAAAACGATCCCAAACTGCTCAGTGGCCTTCAAGGCCAAGGTCAAATTGAAGCACCCCTGCGGCGAATGATTCTGTTATGTAACAGTGTATCAGTGAAATATTCTGAAGTGAGACGTTTTAATCAACAAACAAACATACTCATCATTACAGTATTATGTGCATTTACAAGCACTATTCATCGTTAATATTTAGGGAATATAAAATAAGTCAAGATATTTTTTTTAAGGTTAGTTATTTTTAGGTCACCTGAGTAACTCAGGTGACCTATTGCTATCTGTCTTCGTTCGTCGTCGTCCGTTGTATGTCGTTTGTTAACATTTGAACATTTTCAGCTTTTTCTCTGAAACCACTTAACCAATTACAACCAAATTTAGTATCCAGCATCTATGGGTAGAGTGAAATAAAAATTGTGAATTTCATGGTCCCCGCCCTCCTGGGGCCTGAGGGATTGGGCCAAAACCACTAAAATTATTGCAATCTTTAAAAATCGTCTTCTTTACTCCTGGACATCAAACAGGCAACCTGTCAGGGGTTCTAGTGCTAGAGCGGGGCTATATAGACAATGTAGTGACCATGCATTATTTCTTTGAAAATCTTCTTCTCTGCTCCTGGATTTTAAATAAACTAACTAAGTATATAGATTTGATGAGCAAGAATGCCTCTTCCAGATTTGTGAATTTGATGGCCCCAGGGTCAGGGATTCTGGTGTTAGGGCAGGGCTCTATTGATTATATAGTGAAAATGCATTTATTCTTTGAAAATCTTCTTCTCTGCTTCTGAGTTTTAAATAAACTAACTAGGCACTTAATTATGATGGGCAAGAGTGCCTCTTCCAAAATTTTGAATTTTATGGCCCTCGGTTTAGGGGTTCTGGTGTTAGGGCGGGGCTCTGTTGATTATATCGTAAAAATACATCAATTCTTTGAAATGTTTTTTCCTTTGCTTCTGGGTTTTATGCAAATGATCTAAGTCTATATATTTATGATGAAGAAAGGTGCATCTAGCAAAGTGTTTTTTTTATATGCCCCCTTAGTCAGAGGGGGGGGGGCTTACATAAATAAGTTTATGCTTTGAAATCTGCTCTTTGGTATTAATCAACCATTTTATGATAAAATTTGCAAAACTTTGAAACATGTGGACCCTGGGTCAGTGGTTCCTTTGGGGTGAGGTGCACAACATGGTATATAGTGGAAATGCATTTTCTCTTTGTTTATCTGATCTACCTCTGGGTATTAAGTAGATAGAGCAAGCATCCTAACTTAATAATTATGATAAGCAATTGTACTTCTGTCAAAATTGTGAATTGTCAATTTTATGGCCTTTGGTTTGAAGCACGAACCAAATTTAATTGTTTAAAAGTTGCTACACAATACTCAGGTAACTTATAAGGCCCAAGGGCCTCTTGTTTTCTTTCTAGCTGTAATCCTCTTTTTCAAAAAGTGTGTTTTTTCAGTGGACCGGATGTATGTCTTCATGTGTGTCCCTATGTGTAGGGAGGAGAGGGTTGTGGTAGTGGGGGGGGGGGTGCGGAAACATGAATCTATTGATTTGGGTATTGCATTTTTCCATTGACCAAGACAGGAATGTGCTGTCCAATAAGTTGATTTTTTAATTGCTTGAGCACAAAAATACAGAAATCCTTTTAGAAGCTAAAAAGAAATAAACATGACAAAGGATGGAAATAAAATTTCGTAGACTTTTTAAGAAAGGGAGGGGGGGCGGGGTTCAGCTCCGTTACAAGTCTCTTTCAATACAAGATATGAAATATTACAGTTACATGTACTCATCTCCCCCCCCCCGTCCTTTCCTGCAGTTTCTGCGAATCCTTCTAAACATGATTGTGTACACTGTATATATGGTCCCTATGCAAGATAGCTTAATTACAATGTCTTATTGATATATCTTTTCTTTTATTCACTCGACATTTTTTCGTACTCCTCATCATTCTTCAATATGTAACTCTAAAAAAAAAAATAGAAAAACAAGGTAGAGGGAATATACTTCCGCTCAATTTTGTTCAAGTTCCACCTAAGAATATTTCCTTCAAAAAAAGTAAAAAATATTATTACTAAATTTTTTGACCTCTCATACTTTTGTCATCAGATGTCCGACAAACAAGAAAATAATGTGGTGTCGCTTAAAGAATGAACTCCCTACTCCTGGACTATAAAGCAGATGCTCGAATCACTGTGTCTCGCGGGCGACGAAAGCAAAACGTCATTTTTTACAGATTTGTATTCGTATTTCAGGATTATTCTTATATTTGTAATAAATCTCCTTATCTTTTTAATCACATTTATTCAGCGATGGCTAAAAGTAGCAATTGAAAAAATTATGTAGTGGGGGGGGGGATGGTTCACATTCTTAAACATCTCTTCAATAGGAATGAATACATACGTGTACATACAGTATAAAGAAAAAGATTGGAGTGCATGCCATGTGGTTAGACTAAATGTTAACAATTCATTTATTTTATTTTATTAATTAATTTGTTTGGTGATTCATTATTTATTTGTTTGTCATTTCAGGTAAAATCCATAGCTATGAGCCGGAAGTCAGATGTCAACTTTATTGTTTACTTATGTCTGATAAATATCGGATTAGTGTCGTTGAACAATCACACAGAATCACAAAGGACAAAATCAGACAGAGGTATTTCCCTGATATTACTGATGACGACTTGGTAGATCTTCCTGATGAAATTACAGAAACACGTGACGATGTGATAACCTTTATATCAGATTACATCCGACATGACGTCATGTACGCCTTTGTTACGGAGTGTCTGGTAAAGGACAGTGATCTGGAGTTTTTCCTGACCACGGCGTCACGTGACGTGATATCAGAATACTGCCGGTCCTGGGAGTATGAGAGGAGTGAGGGAGAGAGATGTCTGTATGTACCGGACAGACCGGAGAAGATGTACGAGCTCTTCATAGGCAGTCTACAGTTGGACATCATCTCAAACTGTACCATGTCTGACGAGGGCATCCATAACAGGATCATTCACCGTTGTGAGTACCGTTTTACCTCTGCATATAACAAAACGGAATATATTTATTTTCACTTTTTTCAATTAAAAAAAAGATATTGAGATGTTATGGTACTTTACTGTAATATTTTGTGTACTTTGAGAACTTTCCTTATCATTAATTTTGCAAAAGTAGTTCTTTCATCATTTAAATGTAATTGAAGGAAAATATGAGTACATACCATGTAAAAACATAAAATACTTAATATATGGAACAGTATTTACATGTATCAAGTGAGTACAGGAATATTAAAGTGAACTATTCTGTTACGCTTAAAAATGACAATGTTTAATATTTATTTCGTAATACTTAATAGGTTCTAATGCACATTTTTTAAATACATGTATTAAAGACATTTACTAGCAAGAATAAATATTAGGGGTGGGACGATATACCGATACACCGATACATATCGATATTTTCCTCTAAGATACGGTTTACGATACGAGCATTCAAATATCGGTACGAAACGATACACGAACGACCTATCCAAAAATTGAAAATGAAAGTACCTGTCCTTGAAAATGGCGGCCTGTACGAAGCGAAGAGATGGTGTTGATATTGAAAACACACCTTAGAACTAATAAGCCTTTGATTAGGGGTAATACGTTTTCACTTTTAAGCAGCCGCGGAAGATTGGACAAGAAAAGTTCAGTGTGCAAAGCATGCTATACACAGAAAAGTATCGTTTCCAGAACAATTGATATTATTAATTGTTAGTCCATTCATACTTTTTTTTGTAATCTCAACTTGGCTACAGACTTTCAGCGATTAATAATAATGTAAATGTGATTTTTTTAAAATGAATTTTTAGTCAGTGTTCGTTGATAAACTACACAACTATTTGTAAACAACTTGTTAATAGAAATTTGGTAATATATACAATTGTCCTTTACTATTGTTTTTGTAAAGTTTTAGTCAATGAAGTTGATGAACTTCAAGTATTAATTTCATAGCACACATAATTTGACATAGAATAATTATTTGAGTTAATGTCAAGACAAAAAAAAAATAATAAAATACTTATTATTTTGAATACTTCAATAGTTTTATAATTTATCATGTGCTAATGTCAAGAAAAAAAATGAAATAAAATACTATTTTTAATAGTTTTATGATTTATCATAATATCGAGATACGTATCGTATCGTGCCAATATATCGAGATATGTATCGTATCGCAAGATCTGTGTATCGTCCCACCCCTAATAAATATGTCCATGAAACATTTTTGTCAAATATGATTTGCTTATTTTCACGGAAGTTTAAAGAAAAAAAGTTTCTTGAATGTCTTGGAAGTATGCACAAAAATATGTGATGTTTATAAGAAAAGGGTCTACAGTATTTAACCTTATAAAATACAAATTTAATGCCACTAGAGATCATATATAGGATATGGGCCGGGGAGGGTGGGGGTTACATGTATACCGTCAAGAGTCATGTCATCGGGTCTTACTCTCTAATTTTAACATGTTTTTGTTAATGATTTTTAAAATACGTCTTTCAAATAATTCAGTGTCACAACATGTAGATCAAACTCATGTAAAAAAGTTTGCCAGCGCTGTACATGTGTGTACATTTTATGTAATAAAATTATTGTATGTAATATTACATTTTAAGATCTGAGTTGCACGTGACAGAATATCAAATATATTCAAATAAAAAAAAGATAACCCTCAAAGTTTAAAGAAGAAAAAAAAAGTGAATTGAAACTATACCTATTTTTCAATTCATCCAAGAAAGGATATAAAATAAATAAGTACAGAGTTTATATGTAAAAAAAGTGCAATTATTGTAGAATTAAAAAAAAATTAAAACCGAAAAAGGCATGTAAAAAGCATTGTTTGATGGGGAGGGGGGTGCAGCCATGCATGCATTTTTAGTTTGGGATACTATTTAATGCCCAAAAAATCCTGGAATCAGACCTCAGAGTTCATCAGAAAACAATCATATTATAGCTACCTTTTCCATAGTTTTTTCTATATTTCGGCAAAATTATTGGATTGGATACCCCACCAATCCCATTACCTTCAACCCGTCCCACTGACCAGATTTCCTACATCCATGCTCAACGAAATCAATAAAGCTGTAATGCTTTAATTTATTTTACCTTGAAAAAAGAAAGTACTCTGAGGAGTTTCATCTCTCTTTTCCAAATTTTGTCATTTAAACTAAATGGAAAATGACTTTTTCGTTTTGATTTATTTCTTTATTATCAAACAACCTGCTTTTCAAGCGGAGGGTATACAGTAATCGCGATGTGCGTCCGTCCGTCTGTCCATCTCTTACTCTTTGGGGTAGTCATCCTTTATCCGCAACTCCGCTTATACTTAAATTTAATGAGACTTTGAACTTTCATATCATCTTTATTACATAATGTCACTGATTCTTTTCCTTATTTTTTGATTCGATACATATTTTTCGTTTCCTGTAGCAAAACCATGATTGACACTGCCATTATATTCTTATCAAATAACATGGGACACAGCACCCTATTCATCTTTACACGTTAACGTAAAACAATGTAGAGATTTTTGGGTTCCCATAGCAAATCATGGTCATGATATTGTAATGATATGGGAGGCGGCGGTTACATTTAGTGACAGTAAGCTCATTGCTCATCGTGCATCTAGTTCTAGTTTGATACTGTTGATTATTTTATGATACAGTAGGAGTCCCAGGAGAAATACTAAAATGGGACCAGGAGGCCAGAGAGCGGTATGTGGAGTATGCTAAGAGAGGAACACAGACAGTCCACCACGCCCGGGGGATGATTGTAGGATGTGCTGGGGCGGGGAAAAGCACTCTACTTAAACGTCTTCTCAGATGTAGTGAAGAAGAGATTAAGGAAGTAAAATCTACTGAGGGATTGGAGGTGCATGAGGAAATATTTCATATATGTGATCAAACAAAATCACTAAAAGGTGAAAATAATAGCATTTTATTTATATGAATTTTTTTTTTAAATATGTAAGATTGACTGTATATTGCTTAAAATACCTCTCGAGAATTTTTCACTCATATGGAGACGTCACCGTATGCCGGTGAAGGGCTTCAAATTTTGACCTTGACTCGGCACTCAGGGCCATTGAGCAGTGAGGGATCTTTATGGTGCCAACGACTGCCGCTGACACGGGGCCTCGGTTTTCAAGGTCTTATCCAAAGGACCTGCAACTTTCACTTCAAACAGTTGCTACCCATTTTAACAACTAGGTCTGTTGCGGCCGAGATACGAACTCACGACCTCCCGAAAACGGAGCAAGCGCTCTAGCGACTGAGCTACCGTGAACGGTAAATATGTAAGAATATACAGTTACACATATACACACTCGTTGCACTGTTTGTGTATCTAACAAAACTTTTCACAGTTTGCGCATACAATAATGTACAGACAAATTTTGTAAAGAAAGGCAGTTAATTTGTTAATTTTGTTTCAAAAATTTCTTTTAAGCTGCTGACCTTCTCTTTTTTTTTAAACATATAATTTTATTCGCGCAATGCTTCAAGTAATTTTAAGATTGAATAACTTTCTTCTGTTTTTTTTATTTTTAAATTTCAATTTTTATTGTCAATTTATTTTAATTTCCGGCTGCAAACCACCAACCCATCCCCGACTTGCATCTTCCCAAAAAATGACAGTTTACTTCCTTGTTAATTCTCAGATTTGATGCACAAAGCATGCAACTGTGAATGGTAGAAAATTACTGATATTTAGAGAAAACTTAATCTGGTATGCTTGCCCCCCCCCCCCCCCAGATGATATGGATCCTGATTATTGTAAAAAAAAAGTTCCACCTAAAGACAATCTCCGCCTAAAATACTAAGTGTTGCAATAGATCTTTATTTATTTACCAAAATTTCACTTTATATTATAAATTTATACTGGTTACCCTTGCTTACTAGGTATTTATATATTGTTTAAGACATGGCCGTAAAATTCGGGTGAACACGGGATAAGTGGCCCTACAATGATTTTGTCGATAAATACAACACTTTAAAAAACCTAGCTACTTTATCCATGTGCCATCTGAACAAAAACATCTTTAATGGCGTATTTGGATTCTTATGTTTTTGATTGTTGATAGTCCCTACACCAATGAACTGTATGGTTGTAAAGTTCTATATTCGTATAGGAAACTTATTTAAAATGATCGTATCAGCAAATAAAATTTATCATTGAATTGACGACGGATTTTTCCGTTATTTCCTGATCATGACAAGGAGCACACGGCTGGTGTTACCTGTCGGCAGGGGATGCGCACTCCTCCATGGCACCTGATCCCACCTCTGATCTTTCGGGGGTCCGTGTTTGCTTTGTACTTATTTTGTATTGTTTCATTGACTTTAATTTCAAATTGAATATTGTTCGTTATCTCCATATCCTTCCTTGTAACACATCCGCCCCCTCCCACTCAAATTGTTTCCTACAGGCGTTTGACATTCCTCTTAAATTTTTTTATCGAGTATGGAGATATTATCATCAACGATCAGTGGTCGGTGCCATTTCGTCTCATTCATACGTAACTCATGCATGTGGTCAAAATATATCCTACCGCGCGGGGATGCTCCACTGTGCGGTGCTCTTGTTGCCCTCGAGCGCTAGTAACTACGTTAGTCCAAATTCCTTGAATATGTATGCTCGGCTTCATGGTCTTGCATTCTGGGAAAACTGAAAAACTACTATAGATAGACCGTATGCTAACAATTTCGTTGTATCATAAAATAAATATGTTTATTTATTGTCTTTAGACCCATTTTCGTGATTTTTCTGTTAACTCTGAGTGGTAATTACTGTAAATTTGAATTATCTCCCTTTACAAAATGGGTTTATTTCTCCTCTTGATATTTTGCGTCTGCTAAAAATTATAATATGTCACTGATACTTTTGAGAATTTCAAACACATTATTTAACGTCACAAAGGTGGCAACACACGACAAACTGTATTACAGACATTTTACTCATTGTAGGAGGATAAGATAAGGTGTTCTAGCGTTGAAAGGATTATGGAAAGAAATTAGCCAGTTGATGGGTACCGGGGTATCAAAATACTTATTGCATTAAAATAAATATGTTTATTTATTGTGTAGCTTACAGTTTAAAGATAACTACATAATTGTAATAGTTCAATTTTCCCGTTTTTCTGATGGAAAAGCCCGAGTCATTATGTGATTGTTCTAAACAAAGACAAGGGAGGTTTTTTTTGTGTCTAAGTACAACCAAAGATAGACTCTAATTTTTGATTGGTCAATTCATTCAATCTTACAAATTTCAGAAACAAGAATTCACACTGAAAATAACGAATAAATCCATTATTTATAAAAAAAAAATTCTGATTTGCATGGCTTTTTAAAACGTAACTGTTTCTTGACAAAGATGATCCAATGCACCAACCTACTTTACAAAGGTTAAATAGCTACCCTGTATTAATTTTGCTTTATTGCCACGAAATTCTATTCTTAAACCATCTGATTCAATGCCTCAATCGGCATCTACACCATATTATATAGAGTCTCTCCCCTCTCCAGTAAAGGTCTTAAATGTTCCGTTGCGCCAAAACTCGATAGGTAAAGACCCCTCCGCCTTCGTTTCTTCACCTTTATGTCTAAAAAGTACACTTCACAAAACAATTATATAACTGTATCACAATCAAGCCTCGATCAAAACTAAAGAAATCAGCAAAATAAATCACTTGATCATAAAGCTTCCTTTCTGTGTTTAAAAATTGCTGCGGCGCTAGCTCACTATCTTTTAAAAAAATAAATAATATCTTTTAAAAAAATAATAAACTTGTATTAAATATCATGTTGTAAATGCTGATAAAAAGAAAACGAAATACGTTAATGTCAATGTGGTACACCGAAAACGTCAAATATCACAGAATAGATTTTTTCTGTTATCATGTTTTTTTGTCAAATAATTTGAGTGACTGCTTGAGTGATTTATTGAAAATACCTCTTTTAAAAATATTTGTGCATGAATATATACATGTATTACATCTTCTTTTTTATAAATCTTAGCGAGGCATTTGTAGGCCATTTAGTTAAAAGAATAGTACAAGAATTATATCACATGTTGATTTTGATTTGAACATATTTTATTGTGTAACACAAAAGGATCAGAAGCATGTTCTTACACCTTACAAGTTTTTCCCCTGGAATCACATGTTTATTTCCATAAAATCACGTTCATTAATTGTGAAACTTTATTCATATGTTATTTTGCATTTATGCACGCCGTCATGATATATAATATGTCGGACTTGTCGTTAATATATGGGGCAAAGTGAGGCCATCCATATCTCACGGTACGAAATTTGTGTATTTACATTAATTATGTGATAATACAGTACCCGCATCGTTATTCTTTACAGGGTACACGATACGATAGGATACACGCACGATAGATAGGATACACGCACGATACGATAGGATACACGCACGATAGGACAGGATACACGCACGATAGGATAAACGCAAAACACGATAAACGCAAAACACGATACACGCAAAACACGATAAATGCAAAACACGATAGACCTGATAAACGATCTTCACGATAGGATAAACGCAAAACCTGATAGGATTGTTTCAAAATGCGGAACGTTTTCTGACAAGAAGAAAAGATTTTTTTGTTTATTTACCGCAATATTTTAATTCAAATACTTGCAAAGCTTCAAATATAAATTATAAAGTACATTTAAATATTATAATTAAAAAAATGTTCATTTATATACTGTAGATTTTTAAACACTGATTTAATAGATTATAATGAAATTGAGACTGTAATATTTTTTTTTTAAATTCTATACTTAAGGGTGTAATCTATGTATTATTTATGTAAATGTTGAAATTCTTATCTTAAGGGTCAACAATGACTCGTTTAATTATAGATATTTTAACATACATTTTAACATAATTGTTGCACAAAAATCCCTTCCATAATTATGTGCTGTTTTTCACAGGTACTATATATTATAAATTAATTAAACTCTACAAATAGATTTATTGTTTATGAAAAAAATATACATATGTACCAGTCCTAATACATTTATCTACAAGTACTACTTTATTTCACGGAAAAATTTACGCATTAAATCAAATATTTGTATTTAATGTCTAAAGCTTAAAATCTGCGGTGTATCCAAAATTCGCAATTAAATATTTAAATCTTAGGGAAAAAATACATTAAGAAGACCGGCCGAAAGAAAGAACCAAAGAAATAGGCTTTAAAGAACTATATATTTCAGGAAAACTAATTTCCTGAAGAGAAATCTAAATAATTGTTAATATAATAGTGCTGTGCATTGATACATGTAAACTGTGTCAACAGATTATGAATCTGCTACAACTGCGCATTTACATGTACGTTTACACTAAGCTCTCACTTATGTACATGAAAACATTTATATATCAGGTACTGTACTTAAAACCTCGTGACTTACTGAAAATTAAAATCTCTCTATTGACTTTGACTAATTATAAAAAAAATATTATTAATAGTAAATTTTGACCCAAAAAATCAACAGATCGATGAATTAAAATAAATCAGGCAATCGATTATTTCATTTTCAAAACTTAATTTTGATTCTTTGCTTGACTATGATATGATTATTTTCTTAATTTTATTTATATTTTTTTAATTTTTATTAATTTATTAATTGTATTATTTATATATTTATTCTTTCCTTCCACGCTTTAATATTTCTTTGAATGATGAAAAACTAAGAAATAATACTTTTTTCTCTTTCTTGGTTAAAATAATCTTATTTTAGTTAACAAAAAGAAAAAGAAACTCGGAATACCTCGGTAGTTTCTTCCTGTAGTAAAGATAAAAAGCGAGGGTTTCCGAATATACACGATAAACGCAAAACACGATACACGATAGAGCCTGATAAACGATCAACACGATAAACGCAAAACACGATAAACGGAAAACACGATAGAAAACGCAAAACACGATAAACGGAAAACACGATACGATAGGATACACGCACGATACGATAGGATACAGGACGATATGACACGATAGATCTGTAAAGAATAACGATGCGGTTACTGTAATAGTAAACTAAACTAGTGTAAAAGAAAGCCCCATATTTTCATTTTGAAACTTAGCATGATATGAAAGTGTTCATGGAAATAAATATAAGCACGTTATGTTTATTATACCTAGGATTAGGAAAGAAGGATTTAAATTAAACAATGATAAGATTGTCTTTTGTTATGCTCATATGAAGACTAAGCCTCTATTGTACAAATTGGAAAAAAACGTGTGTTTTATTAATATAAAATATTCTACCATGAATCTCACAGGAAGAGCCCGGGTTAGAGATATTTTTGAGAAGAGTGAACAAAAGAGGAGTGAACCCTCAGTTAAGACACTAACGTTCTTTGACTTTGGAGGACAGTGTGCTTACTATGCTTGTCATCAGATTTACCTGACCAGGAGAGCCTTTTATATTGTGGTTGTAGACGCCTCTAAAGACCTTGACAAGGTGGTAGATAAGAAGGTGTGTGACCAGATGGACACCGTGTTCTCTGGATGGACATACAAAGGTTTAATCTTAATGTAATACTGTGTAAATAAAAAAAAAACTTCAAATGGAAATTGAAAATTCTCAAACTTTGTATAGGAGTCATTGACAGCATTATACTGCAAGAATTTTATTGATTTTTCTGCATATTTCTAGTGAATGAAATACGTAGGATTTTTTTTCTCTCATATAATGAATAAGGCTCATGTTCCAGAGTATTTTGTATTTTGGTTGAAATCTATCCACACCTATTGTTCATCTGTAAAACATGGAAGTGAAGATAAGGTAGAAGTACTAATTGTAGCAACGCACTGGGATGAATCAGTATACAAGGTCATTATTTATTAATTTTTAAGGCATACGTGTATGTGATAATGTAATTTTTCAGACAACATTATTTTTCTTTTTATTCTACCATAAACATTACATCTATTTTAATTCAAAGTTCCTCTTTTATATTACTGCTTTTGCGATGCTGCCAGTATCAAACCCTAACCCTAATCAAACTTCTACTTTCTAAAATTCGTCATAACATAGTTTTGTGTTCTTTCCAAACATTGTAAAGTTAGAGTGATATACATGCATGGTGATTCTACATTCTTTTTACAGAACAAAGATTTCCTTTTGCAATCTTTATACAACGCATTGCCAAACGATTCTGATACCACCCAATATATAAGAGAAGACAGATGTTTCCTAACACACTTTCCACCCACTCAACCCTTGACTGATCTGGAGAAATGCATCGTAGATATCACATTAAGGTCTAGGTGGAGCGAGAAAATTCCACACGAATGGGTTTTCCTTAATGATGAAATCAATGAAAATGAAAATCAGCCGATATTACAATTTAAAGAGCTGCATAAAAGGTTGCCCGTCAAACATCTTGACAAAAGGAAAAATGCTGTTGACATGCTTCGATACTATCATGATGCTGGAAAATGTCTCTTCTTTAACGAGGATGGTCTTCAAAAATCAGTAATCCTAGATGTCCAATGGTTTATAAACGCATTCAAAACCATCATTACAGACAAGTTACACGTGAAAGGGATACATGCAAGTAAAATAGACTGGAAGGAATATTACGAAACAGGAAATCTGAAAGATACACTTTTAGAAGGAATCTGGGAACTAGAGGATATGAAATCACAGGTATTAGGAAGAAGCGGTGAAATTAGAAGAAACGGTGGACATTATTTGGATCACAAGACAACCTTGCTTATGTATATGATGAGGCTAGGATTGATAGCCGTCGGAATGGAATGTCATTATGTGCCTTCTATGAATAAAAAGAAATTCGATAAAGCACAGAAAGAGTTTATCCAATCTTCTGAGTCAAAAACTCCGGTTTTGGTGTTCCTATTTGACTTCCTGCCTTTTTTTTTATATTACCGCCTTGTTGTGACATTAATGCAAATAGAAGATTTGGAGGTCCTTAAAAGTAAAGGAACAACATGTCTGTACAAAAACACAGCAATGTATAACTACAGGGATCATTATCTGGTAGTTGCTGTTACATGTAACTCTATCCAGCTTCAAATTTTGCACTCTGAAGCAGACGGGTGTTTGGAAAAAGAAATCACAGTAGCAATACGACAAGGCATCGACGCAATTTTGAAGGATATCACAAATACGTTTCACAAACATCTTTCGTATACAGTAGGATTTACTTGCCTTGAAAAAAAGAATCAGATTATTGGTATAGAAATCGATGATAATTTTATTGAGGAGAAAAAGTTGAGGACAGGTGCCTCAATGAATTGTCCTCTGCACCAGTTAGATGACCGCCATAAAATCAATCCTGATTTTTTGACGGAGTTTTGGAGGTAACTTATAAATTCCGAAGATAGGTCTGATACTTTTCTTGGATCCATTGCCTTAAAAATAGTTATACATGTAGTTTGCAATGTATTTTTTAACTACCGGAAAAATAGGTTATTGTCCATTTGGATGGATCGACCAACATGCCATTTAAAAATTTTGACAACGTATTTTTATTATAAAACTAATATATTGGGGTGGTATAGCACTGCAATGAAATTTAAACTCCAGTGTAAAAAATATGTGTGAGAATTGTTTGTGATAACTTTTAATTCATTTTTTTTTTGTACATATCATGATTATACATGTTCCATCATCTTATAGTGTAAATACAAAGGTATCATCCCATTTCATTGTTTTAATTTAGTGTTGATTATATTTGTGGTTTTCAGTGCATGTGCTCGATTTACGAGAGGTATAATGTGTGTTAGTAATAATTCTGAAATATTCATGTTCTCCTGCTGCATGATCAAAGAAGATCAAAGAGGAATGCCTTTAAACAGAACAGTTTTTTTAGTGATTTAAACCAATAAAGATAACTGTTCTCATGTCATTTTTAGTAGAGACAATGAAGATCACATGTAAACAAAATAATATAAAAAATACAGCAGCATAGTGGATTAGGAATTGACAAGACTGTATATTCCTGTTTTAATTGTATCCCATGTACAATACATTATCATTCAGAAATTAAATACAAATAAATGCTTCTAATATTTCTTTATGTCTGAAGAGTATATGCTGCAAGTTATTTACATAATTTCCTAAGGCAAAAACTCTTCATATATAATTTTTATGTGTAATGTATACATGTATGTGCATGTGAGCTGTACAATCAGGAAGCATCAATGCTTTATGCACGAACAAACATTTCATTTATAATTATTTAATTTCTTTTTCTTTCTCTCATTTTTTTTTATTAAAATATTTGAAAATCATTTGATCTATTGCCATCAAAGCCAAAATCTTGTCGAAAATAAGAATTCGGTGTAATTTAAAATAGACGAGAACAAATAGTTTTTTGTTATAAGAATTCGACCCACAATATGCCATATTTGGCCTAGCAAATTTGTAAATTATGAAAAAGACATTAGAAAATATGTTTTGGGTTATTATCAACCTAAAACATCGATAGATTTCACTATGCAACACTTTCGTCAAAACCAGATATTACGATGTCATATTCTAAACCGCAGCATGATTCGAGGTTTTCCGGAAAAATGCTCAAATTTTACATAATTAATCGTGGACTTCACATAGAGCACAGTCGTTACCTCAAAATATTGAAACAGAAAAATAATCATAACTGTTTATGAAGTACTTTCCAATGAAATATTTTGCTTTAACGAGTGTGCTCATGGTGAAAAAAATAAAATGAAATGTCAACGCGTGTAAAAAAAAAAAGCTATGATCAAGAGCCACCATATTTGTCTTTGTCTATTACGCAAACTTTAAAGGATCAATTAGAAAGGTGTATAATATTGATTATGAGAGTGGATAGACACTCATATCCCACAGGTCAGAAAATTTTGACTGAGGCACCCATAGAACGTCTGACTGCTGGAATAAATATGATGGGTTCAGTCTAAAAAAGACTTTCTTAAAAAATGCCGATTTATCGACTTTTTTCTGAGTGAGATTGATTTACAGACAAGTGCAACTTTCAAACTTACTATATGATTGTATGAATACCGCAAATACAAACTTTCATGTCAATTATTATTATTGTTCATGGCTTTTAAAAGTAAGGAATTAAGAGTTAAATTTAAACTTTGCTGTTATCAAGAATCGGTATTTCTTTTTTAGTGTCAGTCACTAATTGCATGGTGGGTCATAAGACATCGACTAAATAGGTAACGCACAAGATGATAGAAAAAGCAGTCAATTGTTCACTGAAGACAATAATGAGGTAAAGAATTTAAAAATTACATTTTCTGAAATCAAAGGGGAAAAAACTGATAGGTACTTGTAATCACAGTTGTACATGACGTTACTCGGTGTACGTCATTTGTGACGTCATAATAGATGCAATCATAAGAAACTAATGCCAGAGAGAAAATGGAAGAAAATTTCTTTTTTTTTCAGATTTAGTTTTCTGTCGCATTATTAAATTCGTTTTATTGAAATGGTAAATTACCTATTATAAAAAAAAAATAGCACCTCTGTAAACTGCATTTAAAGTAGAACTCACGTCTTTGCACATCATATTCACATGTCCGCTTTAACAAATTCCCAAGTCGATGCCTACAATACATGTACATGTAATTGTATTATATAGTATCACATGAAGCAACAATCGGTTATCATTTCTATACCTAAATAACATTCATTTCACTACATTAAATCCGCGTAGATAATTTTCATGCACGTGCATAAAAACGTGAAAAGTAATTTTCAACATTCTTCAAAAGCATTATATAATATAGAGAAGTGGTTTCAGATATGTTTGCAGAGACAATAGCTTAATTTAAAACATACAAGGCGTCGCATGAAGGGGGCGGAGGGGGGGGGCTTTTTTAAAATGTGTGTTGGGGTGGTTAAACCAACACAAAAACATAAGCCCCAATTTTCAATGCCGACTATTATCATTCTCTGCTAAAGACCCATGGATCTTGATGTTTTTACTGTAGATAGTTTACAAGAATTTATTTTTGTCTTTAAGTCTTTATACATGAAATCGATATCCATGTTTATTGTTGATATCTTTTAAGTACTTAATGAAAAGAACGGCGTGTTATTTTGAAACTGCTAAAAAAAAAAAAAACTTTTGCCTTGATGTGTAAATCATTTAAAGTGTGACAAGCTTGACAAGCAGTTGTTAGTAAATAGACAGGAAATAAAGTTTTCATTCAAGGAATTCATATAGTTTTGATGAAACAAAAAAGGCCACCAGAAAATAATGAAAGATGGATTTGTTCTATATCTACATCTGCTGAGAGAAATGTTCATGTGTAGATTCTTTTATTGAAAAGATAACACACGACAACAAAGAATGTGAGATTTTTAAAATCATAACTTACATTTTACACAAATACATGTACATGATGTAGATGTTCTATGTTTTAGCTATCTAATTGTTGTGTCTGTCATTTAATTTGGGGACGACAAACCTTATAACTTTTTCACACATTTATTTAAAACACAGAGATTTGACTAAAAAAAATTATACGATCTTGTAAGGACTTTCATTGATACACTGAATTTGACATGAAAAAGGTAATTAAAGGTTCGGTTTTTTTATGGTGGGGTTTGGGGGGTTGGGGGGTAAATTGAGTACGGAAACTTCGTCCACCTGGTCGTTATATAGGGTGCACTACCCGTTAACAACGGCTGCTTACTCCTGTGCACCCGATCCCAACTAGTAATTCCAAGTAGTCAATTATTACGTATTAATGTTATTTTCTCACATGTTTGTACAAACTATCTGCTTCTTAGGCTTTGAATGTTTGACGTTGGCGCAAAACCCTTCAATTTAATATCTTAAACAATATATTAAATAAAGAAATCAAAGGTATATTTACATACTTTACAAAGAATATATATACTTAATATGAGCATCATTTTTTTTTATTTAATATTGTTATAAATTAAATATACTGTAAGAAGCTCATTTGATTGACTTTCGTTCCAGTGAGTATTTTTTTTCTTTAAATTTTAATTTGTTGTATTTCATTGTTATAAATGAATCCATAGACATATGCAAAATGTTTGTTTTTTTTTTTTAACATCTTAACAACAGTAAAAAAAAAGATGTACAAACAAAATAATTCATAATGTTTCTGTTTATTTGCATCAACGTTTCTGGCATCAGAGAAAGCCAAATTCAAAAATGAACTCGATAACAGACATAATGAGATAAACTTGATTGGAAACAATTCTTCAGAATACGTGAACGTGCTTAAAAATGGCTACAATATTTGATATAACAAAAGAATAGTTTTATAAGCGTTATGTTTTCAAACAGACATTTTATATATTGTAACAATCACATGAAATGTAAACGATAAAATGCAAAAAGGAAAAGACAATATTTATCATTGTCAATGAATGATGGTTACGTTCTGATGTAATGTTCGATACGAGTAGTAACGGTGAAATAATTATATGCTTTCGCTCAAATTCAGAAAGTTCACCATATAATAGAAATTAAATATTATTTTATGACACTCGTTGTCTGTAAAGTAAATCTGTGATTTTTAAACAAATTACCAAATCATGATACATTATCAATGTCTTTTATGTGAATTCATATATTTTGTATGCAGTTTGAATTCAAAACAATTTTGTTTACTTATGAATAATTATTTTGAAACACTAACATTTTCATCAGTGAATAAACTTTTGTTAATGCAAATTAAAATGTTAATTTCTCAACAAGGTCTTCTCACAACAAGTAAAACTGTGAAATATGAAAATCCTAGCCAACCTGTTCAAAAGTAATGCCCGGGTAATGATTGATTTCAGACAGGTTGATTAAACTCCAGGGTCAAGGTCAAAGGCCAAAGTTGTTAGTTCTTTGGTTTCATATGTGAATTATGGAAGCCTGAACCTAATCATTCAAAAGTAATGTCCAAAGTAAAAGATTTTAAAAGTAAGTCAATTTCCAAGGTCAAAGTTGTTGTTGCCACACATCCACTGGGTTCGAAACGACAGCTAGTATGTAATCAAAATGTAACAACCCTATACTTATCGGTCATCACATGTAGTGAAACCATGTAACACTTCAACAATATGATACATGTACTCAAATTTGCCAAATTTTATGCTCACTTTTTTTGGTCACATACATGTATATCACAAGACTCGTTGAACAAAGAATGAAAAAGAACACAGTGTGGTAATTAGATAAATAAACATTCTAGTTGGCACTTCCTAAGTTATATACACATACAAGTTTTACAGTACCTTGTAAATCATTCATGATAATATAAACTAGTTCTAATTATAACGGGGACCGTTACAAATGTTCCCCAAACGCTACCCAACTCTCTTTCTGTGCAAGTTTCCTTTAAAACTTTTTTCAATATGCTTAGTATCGCAGGATTTCATAAAAGAATTTTAAAAGCTACAATTATATCAACTTTTTGTCATTTAACGCATTGTTCGCAAGCGCACGTGCATGCACATGCAAGGTGATCGTGACATGTTGTCTAAACCATTAACATATCTTTCTATTCCAGAAATCAATAAAAAGTCATAAAAATATAAATTTTACCATTTTTCAAACATATTGTTCATTTTACGCATTGCGTGTGCGCATGTGCATGCAAGCACGTCCTTGCATTCAAT